CACAGAGCAGCGCCAACCGCCCTTTGGTATTTTCCACTGGAACTCGGAAATGTTAACCAGCTGCACTCGGGGTCTTCAAGTGATGATGCGCTGATTTAATGCGGAGGATCCAACCGTTGGGCAACCAATCCTCATCAAATAAAGAAAAGTTTGGCTCATATAGCCGAATATTTAAGGACCTTTGAAATGGATTCGGATTCTCAATACTTTTTTACTTAATTTATTTATATTAAAGCACGGAAAAACAGTTAGATCTTTAAAAAAAACAATCGTGTTCAAAACTAATCCAAAATACTATACAGAAAAACAAACAATTTATAAAGTTCCTTAATTTTGAAATGATCGTGCGCTTTAAGGAATTTTTCGCTTTTAAAAAAATCCAAGTGGAACCAATACAACACTTAAAAATGTGGGAATATATTTTATAATTGGCAAACCTCTAGTGGTTTTAGACAACAGCAAAAAATTGATTGCCTGTTTCAAAGCTTTGCCTTGTGCCCCACAAACTCCGGCTACGAATTGGAACACCCTCTCTGAGGGAATATAAATGGGCATGCGAAATGAGTCATTACAGATATGGTATGTATATGCAATCAGGCGGGCTTCCGCCTCCGCAACCCTGGAGCCCCAAAAAAAGGGCACCACCTCACCACCGGGGGGCGGCCACATCGAGTCATTTGTTAACAATCCAGAGCGGTGGCGGTTTTCAGGGCCAGCGCCAAATGCGCGGAAGTGTGTAGTCGGATGTGGTTAAGCATACGCCATGTGGGCCATCAAAATTTTGTTTTTGTCGTCGTTGTGCTCGTTCGCTGGCTCGCTTTTGATTTGCACTTTTTTCTGTTGGATTTTGGTGTTTTTTGTTTTGCTTTGGTGTGGATTTGAGGGTGGATGGATGCGATGGGGTTCTGGGTTTTATTAAGCAAATGTGCATGAAAATCTATGCACGGATACGCGCGCAATAATGCGAAATTTATGGCTCGCAAACGTGACACTCCGTGCCAAAAGCTGCAACTACACTGCACGCTGTCCTGCACTTGGAGAAATAGAGGGGAGATATTCGAACTCTATTTATGTTTACTAGTTTAAAGATTTTGAAATTATCGTAGAATTTTTAAAAAAGGAATGTTTTTTTTGTGTAATATGATAGTAAAGTTGACAAAACTAGGACTAACATAGGGGGCACAGTGCTAATTGGGAGCCTTTGGCTACGAATTTTTAGTAGGTTAACTTAATTTAACAACATTTTCATAATTTTAATTTTTGGATTTCATTGTATAAATTTGTTTGCCTTAGAATAAGATTGTCATAATATTTGCTGACGTTGGGTTTTTAAGTTATGTATAATAAACAATATTTTTCCATAAATTTCTTATGTGTTTTCCTAAGAAATATTTTTACATCAAAGTAAATACATTTTTATTTTAATATGACGTTTCTTTAGTATTTATATTTATATATCTACAGTACATTTAAATACTTTCAATGGTTCTAAATTATTTTCCTAACACTAAATAGATTTTCTTTTAAGCTTTTAAATATATATATGAATATGTTTTTGAGTGTAGGACCCCATTCCATTGCGGCCACGCCCCCTGCCGGGCGGAAACTGCTCATTTCAACTCCGCCTGGGGGGGGGGGTGTATGGAGCTGATGGGGCTGATGCCTTTCGCAGTTCGCTCAGCATGCAGTTTTAATTGTTTTGTCGCTAAAATATGTTGGTCGCCTCCCAATCCCCCCATGTCTGCGCCCCTGCCCCTCCGCTCGTCTGCTGCATTTTATGGCATTTAATTTTGTGTAAGCACATACACACAGAATATTTACAAACTTTCGCTTTAATATTGTATCATAAAATAAACACGACGAGGATATGGCTTCCAACTCTAGTTTTGCCCTCACAAATTCCCATTTCATTTGCATGTTTTAGTTGACCGCAGTGAACATTTATCTGTCGCACGTTTTTTTTCACAAATATTTGACTCCAGTTTTTTGGCCATTTCATTTGGTTGGCAATTGACGTTGCTTTGAGGATAGCTATTTGGTTGCAATTGATGGGAAAAACTTTCAATAAATGATGACAATAAATGAAAAATGTGAAGTCAGAGTTTGTAATGAATTTGTATTTAATAATAGCTGTGGGTTTTCATTTAATTTGTTTGTTCTCGAAGAACGGGGAACAAAAAATCCGCCAATCAAAGTCCCAATACAATCGTTACGTCTAAAATCGCAATTCGCTTTAATTTGAGTATGATATCAAACCAAATTGATTTCTTTATACCCCGATTTCATTCCCAACGTCGAAATAGTCGTTGGCCGCCTTTTACGCCGATTGCCGCCGACCACGCCCACCACCGCAGCGTGGGCGTTTTTATGGACCGCTTCCTGTTTTTACATTCCCGAATATACATAGATGTATTTTTGGTTTTTTGCCCCACTCTGGTTTTTGTTGGCTTTCTCTTTTTTATTTTTGGCTTGGCAGTTGGGTTTTCTATTAGTTCGGTTGGCGCTTGTCTGTTATTTGTGTGGCTTTGGCTTTCATTTGATTTGTACGGGATGTTTGCATATTTCAGCTTTGATTTATTGTTGCGGCGAGCGGGGAAAGTGCGACTCCTCTTAGGGAACTTCTGCTAATGGCCGTTGCCATTTCATTTCAGCAACAAGTTTTGTTCTAGCCCCCTTTTCACGGCTAATGCAACGCAGCTTGCAGCTCTCAGCTCTGCAACTATCGCAAACACTTTGAGTTTGCCCCCCCCAGAGTTTTCTCCCCATTTTTCCACCCAATTTTCACAGCACAGCCCCATTTTCTCAGCAGCTGTGACAGGCGTTGGCAAAACTTTTTAATCTCGTTAGCCTGGACGGTGTAATAAAATTAAAGCCCCGATGCCAGGGCACTTTTCAGGTGGTGGAACTTTTGTGCTGCAATTTCAATACGCCATTTAAACTGATAATTGTTTTGTATAAATCATTTTGGTCCTGGCCACAATCACATGCACAAACAGGAGCACAAATTACCTTTCGGTCGCGGAGAAAGTTAATTAAAAAATTGTGGCCAGAAGAGGGGGGGCCAGAGCTTTTGTTCAAGTAGCTCGCAGCTCAGGGGCTCAAATAAACTGCAATTCAATTAGGGACGCGGCCATAAATAAAGCCACACACACACAGGAGAACAAAATCAAGTTGCGGCCCACCCACCGACAGTAGGCATATTTAGTTAAATATTATTATAATTTCTCTTCGCTTTTCCTTTTTGGCCATCGCCTTTTGCGGCTGGAAAGCACATGAAACAGATATAACGATTCTGGACACTGGGGGAAAGTCAGTCCTTGCTCCGAAATATTGGACAAAACAGACAGAATCTTAGACTAAGATATATAAAGATACATATTATTATATAGATACATCTATAGATTTGTATGAAATACTAAATAAATAATAAAATAATTTCAAAACAATTTTACCTTATGATTATACAGAGATATTTAACACATATAAATGATATAAAAGAGTACAGATTTCGTATATAAACTTTATTTTCAGTGTATCCATCACCCTCCTCTTATTCTATCTTTTCCTACTACCTCCATCTCTCCCTTTGGCTTTTTTGCGGTTTAATCTTTTATAAATAACAAATGGCGTAAGTTGCCTGCCTTTTTGCCGGAGTGGGCGTGGTCCACTGTGGGAGGGTTTGGGATGGAGGGGGTGTGGCCGAGGGGCCGGCTGTGTTTTTTAGGTATTTCGTATTTTTAATGCCACTCGTTTTGGGCCGATTTTGTCTGGTTCAGCTTAAATAAACCCGAGCAGCAAAAGTTTAAGTTTGTGAAAAAAATAACGAAAAAATACAAAACAACAAAGCTGCGATAATAATTAAAAAGAACAAGCTAAAGGGCTCCCTTTAACAACAACAATAATGAAAGCTTAAGAATTGCCGAGCCATTTTGAATTTATATTTAATTGAACAATATATTTATTTATTTTAATGGAATGCACGATATATTATAATTTTTTATTTATTCCTAAAAATGTATTTCTGTAAATTCTGTAACATATTGCAATATATTAAAAATTATAATTAAATAAATTAATTAAATTAAATAACTATAATTATAGTTATTTGTAAATTCATTACTACTTAAAAAAATCGTGCATTTTCCGAAATTTAACTTATTTACTATTTGGTAACTACTTGACCAACTCGTTCCAAAAATGTATCCCAAAAGGTCTATGGATGTTTCCTGTTTAAAAAGTTTAGCACACTCCAGACCTCGAAGGAAAAAACATAACAAAATATGATAAAGAAGTATACAAATACGAAAATTTCGCTGTGGCAACTTGGGCTAAAGTAATTATTTTTAATAATTGACTTGGCGTTTGCTTCATTTTTTTTTGTTCGGTCAGCTTGCCACCGCTTCCTCCTTGGCCTGGAAAATGTTTGAACTTTGAACTAATTTGGCAAAGTTTTGGCGCTGTGTCCGTGTATGCATGTGGCTCCTCCTCCGTGGCCGTGACTCTGGCAGCTGTTTGGCCAAAAGCCTGCTGTCGCTGACCTACAGACCGCAGAGAGCGTGGCTCGAACTAATTAAATTTATGGGTCTGGCCAATTTTTATGCAGCGGCAGGGTCGAAATTTGAATTTAAACTTAAACAAACGCTAATTAGATGGGAAAGTGGATCTTCAAACTAAGGAGGGGTCATCAATTGATTAAAATAATCAAATTTCTTGAAAGAGATTATAAAATGTTGAATATGATTTCAAATTTTTTAAATATTAAAACCTTATGAAGCGTAGATATTTGTCGAAAGTTAAAAAAAAAATTTAAGACGAGTATGTAACGTTTCACTTATTCACTGATACTGTTCCACCCGGAATATAAAACATTTTAGTTTTTTATGCTTCCGGAACGGTTCAACTCAGCTATCGATACAGTTTTGTGTTCCCTGAAATCCCAGGGCTGGGTATGATCGCACTGAAACAATCGATTTGTGTACAATCGATAAGCGACCCTGACAGCCGTGTGCCTAAAATTCTGGAAAGTTTGGGAATTTTATAATTTTCTTCAAAAAATGGAGTTCAATCAATTCGCTGACTCGGCTCTAAGCTCCCTTTTAGAGACCACAAAGTTCCTCCAGGAAATTAGCAATGGTAAACTACAGCATAGCAAGAAGAACCCATTAAAAAATTGTTACAATCTCCGACAGGCATATCAGATGACGATGGCGAGGTCCGTAAGTTGCTGGAGGAAGGAGCCAACTCTCGCCTAGAGCATGCCGAGAAAATCATCGAGCGTAAGACCAAGCACAAGGAACTCGTGCAGGAAATGCAGAAGGCCAGAGGTGAAAGCACCACTGTCGAGAAATTCGGGCGGGCTTGGAACAAACGCCGCGATGCAGTGGAGCGGAAGCCCATCAATGCCAAAAACACAGCCGAGTATCAGAGCTTCAAGCGATCCATTGAGTCCACACTTTCAAACGCAGAACCAGAAGCTAACAATTCCGATGACGATGTAGTTGCAACGGAGGTGTCCTGTAACAGTGCCTTCTCACCATACGATCCCTGGACCAAGGCGCTCATCAGGAATCCCGTTCGCAACAAAATGTGCGGGCACATCTATGACCGCGAATATGTTCACGGACTCATTAAGAACAACATAGGGATTCGATGCCCAGTGGCTGGTTGTGCCAGCACGGTCTACATCCATCCGGCCCACTTGATCGAGGATGAGGCTGTCAGGCAGAAGATACGCTTGCAGGTGTTGCAGGATATGCAGTCGGACACAGACGAGGATGAAGAAGAAGGAACCCAAGAGGAAGTTCAGCAGGATGACGAGGATGAGGATTGATTCAATGTTAGTTCCACTTTCTATTGAATATCAGAACAGAACCACTTTTCGTTTCAGGGTATTCATATATAAGTTAATCTAATTTGCTTGCTGTAGCTTACTTAATATACTGATTTTGTAACCATAATGCAAACTTAACCTTACCATTGCTTCCCAATAAACCAGAATATTTTATGGGACCCATGGCATTTAAGTGTCGTTTCACATCTAAGAAGAAGAAATCAACCTATCCTTACCAACATCTTTTTAAATCTTTTTTAATAATTGATCTTTTTAAATAAATAATTAAGAAAATATCTCTGCTGAACGAAAATATGTTGATAACCTTCCTATAATAAATAATGTATATCTCAACAAGTACACTAATTAATTAAAACTTATCACCGATTTTATAAATTGAAATAAATTAAGGAAAAATCACTCAAAGTCTAACTTGCAATTCCCTTTGTAAAAAACGGGTTTTAATTTATTTAATTGTCCAAAAAAACTGCTAATCCATTTAATCACATAGAAAAGTAGTCGACAAAAAATGTCCGAAAAAAGCTGCCGATTTGTAGTATATTAAATTAAATGAGTTTAACCATAAATATCGAATGCAAATGACGACAAACAATTGAAAATGAATTGCGTTCGAGTCTAATTAGATAACTTAAACAAATACATGTGTAGCATAATTAATTTGCATTTTCCAAATATTTCGCTCATTATTTGCACGACCCTTACACTCGCCCGTTTTACTTTGTTGCCAGTTAATATATAACAAATTATGTACACAAGCTGCAAATATTTAGCAATTAAACCCCTGAATGCAAAACAGTCGATGAAATTTTAAATTGCAATTCGATGCCATGGTAGCGGAATATGTGGGCGAAGAATTTAATTAATTCGAAATTTGTGTAGTTAGCAGATGATGACATTTGACCTTTTGCGACTTTATGTTTGGTAAGCAATAATATTGCGTAGTGTTTCTCGAGAACTCCCACAGATTCTATGAAACGCATAAAAAACCGTCCCGTCACCTCCATTGCCATAATTAGCAGAAAAGCTTCAAAGTCCTTTTCAGTACGGTCCTTTACCATTTATCGTGTTTGGCCCTCCCTGGAGTTTTAAAATGTACACGCGACCAACATAAATTAGCGCCTCGACACGAACGATGGTAAAGGCATTAAACCGATCGCCTGGCATAAGCGGAGGTCCCCAAAGAAAAGGTGACTAAAATGGTGTGGGTCCTACTAATGTATAAAAATTTATATGAAGAATTTTAACAATGGAATAAATGAATATTTAGCAGAGTTTGAATTTGTTTTTTTCGAATGCATTGGTAACAATTTTAATTTATTTCGTCAGCCTTTTTAACAGTTTACTCATAGATATATTTCTTTAAAAGGTTTTTGTGTTTTGAGAACACCTTATCATATTTATTTATTCATTGTTATATTTCTTCAACAGGTTTTTTGTATTTACCGACTATAAATATGGAGAGCACCTCATCATATTTATATTTATCACATTTAAAGCTTTCCTCCCACTTAGAATTTCAAATGATTTTTCTTTTACCACTTCAGGAAAAATACCCAAAACAATAACATCTGAAGAGAAGAAAGGGGAATTCTCAAAGCAGACAGGCGGTATGAAAATATTTGCATTACTTCTGCTTTAGTGGAGGCATTACCCACTTTCATTTCCAACTCAAATTTTCCTTTTCCCATGGCGGCGTCACATGCGTTGCCTTTCTTGCGTTTTAGTGTAATTTCCGCAATAATTTCCGACCACATTTTATGCCGCCCTTATTGATATCCCAAAAACCCCTCATCCTTTCACCAACTCAGTGTTTCGATTTTTTAATCATTGCGTCATACAGTAAATTTAACCTTGACATATGATTTCTCCATTTGCTGTTGGGTGATTTGCATTTTTTTTTTTTAATATAGGCATAAATTCCATAATTCATTTTATAAATATGACCCACTTGCCACAAAGCGTAGGTGAATATATATAATTATTTATCAATAATATTAAATGTACTAAACTATGCACTACAAAAGTTAAAATACCTTATAACTGATATATAAAAGATTGAATTTACCACTAAATTTATTCATTTTAAATTCGTAGAAACGGATAAATGAAATTTTTTAAAAAGCTTTAAGCGTCTTCAATTTTTAATTTAATTGTCAAAAACTCAACTTACATTTTTCCGTAGTGTTTTTATTAAATTACCCCATCTTTGGCCGTCCTTCTCCGACTTTTTCCCATTGTCAGTTTGGTTTTGCTCAGTCAAATGGTTTGTTGCATTAAATTTATAGCGCACAATAAACTTTTGCGGTTGCTAGCAAGCCTTCAACGCGGCAAATGCCGCAGGGCAATTACGACAGTGGCGGCGGAAAAAGGGATAGCCAAAAATCTACATGCCAAACTATGAAGAGAAAGGGGGAATAAATAAACTGGGAAGCGGAAAAGATTCTTTACACTAGTCATGTTGCAGTTTTGCTTTTTTAGCATATGTACACCTCTCACTCCATCCATCCTGCATCACTCACACGAATTTTATGAAAAATATCCTTAAGGCATTAATTTTCAAATTTGATATTTTTGGCCATTTTCGCCGGCGGTGCACAACTGTAAACAAGAGTAAATACTTCCAGCATGCATGGGCCAACAGCCCCCCGAAAAACCAGGGGCCATATTGGGGTAACAGACCGTAAAGAGCGAAATATGTGTAATATGATTAAATTTTATCAACAAGCAACTGCCAGAGCCAGAAAACAACAGGAGCAAATGCTTTCAACACGGGGCTGGGGAAAATCTGAAGGGCTTGGGGGCAAAAGAACGCCCCGAGAAGAAAAACAAGGGAAAACATATGCAGAAAACGAAAACACAACAACGTTTGAAGCACGTTTCAGCCAGCTTCGTCATCTATAAATGTATGGGTCCTGGTCATAAGTAACGATTTATGCATATCCTTGCTTTTAAATTTTTTGGGGTATATTGGAACAAAGTGTTTCAAAAAATTCAAAAATAAATAGTATATATAATATATTATAAGGCGTTCAAAAAAGTACTCATCAGGTTTAAAATGTATCTTTTTTATATATCACTGATATGAAAATATATATAAATATCTGCTTAATATTTGTATATAATCTGTATAATATAGGGTACATTCTAAAATAACCCTTACTAAAATTTCAGACTGACTTTCCTGATCTGACAATACACCCTCCGCTCTGTTTGTTCTGTATGTGTTTATGACTTTGGATGGCAATGTGTTATTTATGGCTCATTTATGATTTGGACGCGTGATATTTGTGAGATATTGTAAAATGGAGGGAACGAGGCGACATTTGGCAGGGAGCCTTTTGCATTTTGATTGCAGATGTGTGTAATGGAAAATGGGCAAAGCAAGGCCACACGACTTCCAGCCTCCATTTATGGATTCCCCTTCGAACACGATTACAGAAATGCCATTCTTCTGACAATTTCTGCTTTAATCCAATAACAAACTTCATCCGCCGCCGTTTTCCACTCATTACTGTCCATGTTGCGCTGTCATGTAACTACTGCAATCGGTTTGCATTGCTGATGAACACTATAAAAAATATTATTGTATTTTATTTTAAATAATATAAGCAAAATTATCCTGTTATTTATGTTGGAATACGATTTTATTATCTAACAACAGACCATAAATGACTAAGATATTTATTCATTTTACTAAAGTTAATAAAAGTTGTTCAACGTTTTAGTAAGAACAATGTAAACAAATGTAATCAAATAATTAAGTACACGTTACAATTGTAGGACTTCCCTTTTTAAATATCCCATAAGAGAGAAAATATATATTTGCGAAATATTAAATTAAAGTTATAGCCATTTCCGGAATATTTTCGCCTCGTGCACATTACGCATACGCCTCGGGTGTTGCTATGTGCCACTCTCAATTGACAACTGTTGCTGCCGCAAGCGGTTGCAAGTGGCAACTGTTGCGGTGTCGCTGTCTGATTGCATTTGGATTGTTGCACTGGATTTTTGCATAAGTTGCTGCAGATGACTCTGCACCACCGCCCCACCCACCTCACTGCCGTTTATCATGTGCAACTCGACTGGCTGATAAATCTAATCAGTGTCGCGGCAACACTAATCCGCCACGCCCACCGCCAGCTGCCACCCACCGCCCCCCGCTTGGCCCACCTTTAAGGTTAACGTTAAGTAAAAGTTTGTGCCAACTTCTCAGCGAGTGTGAAAGAGGAGAAAAGTTTGTACTTAAATTTTTTATATTATTTTCGCTCAGTTCTACCCACACACTCTGATCCTCTGTCTTCCTCGCTTTTTGCAACACTGCACGTAGCAACTTTTTATTATTGTATTAGCAAAAGTTTATTTTTTCTTAGCCACCCCCTCTTTGACTTGGCTACAGCTGTGCCTCCAACTCCAGCCTGGCCAATCGATAGTTGTCTGCGGGCACAACTGTACACACTTGTGCCCATGGGTGGTTGAAGCCAGCCAGAATCTCCACTACTGCTCCTCCAATCCAGTTGGCTGAGATGCTGCGCTTTTGTGGCCGATGGTTTAGATTTAATTTGGCAAACAGCAAAAGGGACGGGGCAACATTTTGACAAAGTGCCCATCGTCGATGTCGTCGCTTAAGACTTGGCCATTGCACAGTGGTTGCAAAACTATTGCAAATTCAATTTCAAGACATTAAAATCGGTGATTGATTACTGTAGATAGGGAAGCTAATAAAATGATATTCTTTCAGAACTAGATTCTTTCAATAAATGGTGAATATGTATATGTGGTTGCAGATTTATTACAATTTTTTTAGCTATTCTAAATAAATGTTAAAAACTACTACTACTACTACTACTACTACTACTGCTACTACTACTATACTACTACTACAACTACTACTATTTCTACTACTACTACTATTTCTACAACTACTACTATTTCTACTACTAGTACTACTACTACTACTTCTACTACTTCTGCTACTATTACTATTTTTACTAATACTACTACTACTTTTACTACTACTACTACTACTACTTCTACTACTACTATTACTACTACTTTTACTACTAGGTTACTAGGAGTAACCTATACTACTAAATATAAATATGTATACTTTTAGAATTTAATAGCCATTATGGTGAATATGTAAATTTATACAATTATGAACTCCTCCAATTTTTTCCAT